CGGGGGTGGGGCCAGAGTCTCACACCATCCAGAGGATGCTTGGCTGCGAAGTCGGGCTGGACGGACGCCTCCTCCGCGGGTACAGGCAGGAAGCCTATGACGGCGCGGATTACCTCGCCCTGAACGAGGACCTGAGCTCCTGGACCGCGGCGGACACTGCGGCTCAAATCTCGAAGCGCAAGTTTGTGGAGGGCACTGAGGCGGAGCACACCAGGGCCTACCTGGAGGGCAGGTGTGTGGAGTGGCTGCTCCGATACCTGGAAAACGGGAAGGACACGCTGCAGTACGCGGGTACGAGGGGCCACGGGGCGCCTCCCAGATCTCCTCCAGAACTCCCAGCTGGCCCCCCACAAGAAGGGGAGGAAAATGGGGTCAACGCTAGAATATAGCCCTCCTCTGGTCCAGAGCAGGAGAATCCTCCTGGGTTTCCAGATCCTGTTCCAGAGAGCGACTCTGAGGCCCGCCCTTCTCTCTGGGACAATAAGGGATGGAGTCTCTGAAGAAAGGGAGGGGAAGACAATCCCTGAAATGGGGATCAGTGATTCCCTTTGAGCCCTGCAGCAGCCTTGGGCACCATGACTTTTTATCTCAGGCCTTGTTCTCTGCCTCACACTCAGGGTGTTTGGAGGTCTGACTGCAGCTCTCCGGAGTCACTAGGCCTCCACTCAGGTCAGGACCTGATGTCCCTGCTCTCCTCTCACAGACTAGAACTTTCCAAGGAATAGATTATCCCAGTTGCCCGTGTCAGGCTGGTGTGTGAGCTCTGTGCTCCTTACCTCATCCCAGTTGTCCTGTCCACTCTCAGGATGGTCACATGGACACTGCTGGAGTGTCCCATAAGGGATGCAAAATGCCTGAATGTTCTGACTCTTCACTCAGATCCCCCAAAGACACACATGACCCATCACCCCAGCCCTGATGGGGATGTCACCCTGAGGTGCTGGGCCCTGGGATTCTACCCTGCGGAGATCACACTGACCTGGCAGCGGGATGGGGAAGACCAAACTCAGGACATGGAGCTTGTGGAGACCAGGCCTTCAGGGGATGGAACCTTCCAGAAGTGGGCCGCTGTGGTGGTACCTTCTGGAGAAGAGCAGAGATACACGTGCCATGTGCAGCATGAGGGGCTGCCAGAGCCCCGCACCCTGAGATGGGGTAAGGAGGGGCATGGGGGATCAAGTTGCTTTTCAGAGAAAGCAGGAGACCTTCTGGAGACCTTTATCAGGGTCTGGGTTGAGGCCTGGGGGTCAGAACCCCTCTCCTTCCCTCTCTTTCTCAGAACCTTCTTCCCAGATCACCATCCTCATTGTGGGAATCGTTGCTGGCTTGTTTCTGGTTCTCCTTGGAGCTGTGGTCACCGGAGCTGTGATGTGTAGGAGGTAGAGCTCAGGTAGGGAGTGGGGAGGTGGTCTGGGTTTTCTTGTCCCACTGGGGGTTTCAATCCCCAGGTAGAAGTGTGTCCTGCCTCATTACTGGAAAGTACCATCCACACACACGTGCTTACCCAGCCTGAGGCTCTGTGTGCTAACACTTATTCTTTTGCAAAACACATACAGAAATAAAGGACAAATGTTTCACTTTGATGATTGTGGTGAAGGGGACCTGATTCCCAAAGTCAGAAGTCACTGGAAAGGTCCCTGAGGACAGACCTCCAGGAAAACAGTTGATCTAGTCCCCCACATTTGCTTTCTTCATGTTTTTGGTCCTGCCCAGGATCTATAGTGACAGTTCTGGAATCTTCTCTGGAGTCCAAGAATAGGGAACCCTCTAAGACCTCATGGCCCTGCCTCCTCCCTGACCACTCACAGGACATTTTCTTCCCACAGGTGGAAAAGGAGGTAGCTATTCTCAGCCTGCCTGTAAGTGTGGGAGGTGGTATGGGGGAGCTCACCCACCCCATAATTTATCTTCTTAGTCACATCTCCTGTAGGCTCTGACCAGATTCTGCTTTGTTTTACCTCAACAATGACAGTGCCTGGGGCTCTGATTTGTCTATCATGGCTTGTTGAGGTGAGAGACCCTGGGAGAGGCCTAGAGTGGAAAGGTGGGGAGGAAAGGGGACACAGCTGGGTTATGGGGGTACTTTGGGTCATTCTGAGTTGGTGGTGGGCTATTCAGAATGTCACCACTCACTGTGACTGACCTCAATTTGTTCATGAACTCCTTTTTTCTATAGTGTGAGACAGCAGCCTAGTGTGGACTGAGTGATGGAAGATTTGTTCACACTTCCCCTTTTTGAGTTCAAGAGCCACTGACTTTTCTTTCTGCAAAGGGGTCTGAATGTGTCTGTGTACTTGTTAGTATAACATGAGGATGTGGAGATAGGTGCCCCCCCTCCCATGTCCATATTGACCCCCTTACCCACACTGACCTCCGTGCCTTCCCTGATCATCTTTCCTGTTCCAGAGAGGTGGAGCTGGGATGTCTCCATCCCTGTATCTATTTCATAGTATGCTGAGCTGCAGCTTCCTCCCAATTGAAAATAGGATTCTGAATATAAATTTGTTTATTCAAATTATTTTAATGAAAAGCTGATGGGTTAGTTAAAGGAGAAGACTCCTAAAATCTGAGAGAGGAAATAAATGGAAGACGTGAGAACCTTCCAGAATCCACGTTTGCTGAACTGAGTCTTGCAGGTTGGAAGTAAAGAAAGTTGTGAGGATCCAAATGTGGATGGGGCCTGTGCTCAGTGGGTGCTCAGGTTATTATGGATTTTGATGAGGTCACTCCTCAGCTGGGTCATCTTCACTACTTCACTGTCCATGTTCCTTCAGTAGAACCTTGTCCCAGTAGGACTTGTGGCCACAGAAACTCAGACATCACCGAGGGTGGCCCCTGCACATAGGTGTCTCTATAGTATCAAGAGATAAATTTTCAAAACCATCCAGTTCTTGCCTCCTTCCTAGGGCTCTTTCCTTGATTGTATTTTCATCTTTTCATTTATTTTTAATTTTATGGATACATACCTATTGTGCATATTTATGGGGTGCATGCTGTATTTTGATACAAGCATATGATGTGTAATGATCAAATCTGGTAATTAGGATATCCATCACCTCAAGCATTTATTTCTTTGTATCGGGAACATTCTAAATCTTCTCTTTGGTTATTTTGAAATATGCAATACATAGTTGTTAACTATAGTCACCCTATCATGCTGCTGTATACTAGGTCTTCTTCCTTCTAACAGTGTTTTTGTACCCATTAACCAACCTCTCTTTACTCCTCCTCCCCCTCCTCACTGTCCTTTCCAACCACTGGTAACCACCATCTATTCACTACCTCTGTGAGATCAATTTTTTTTGTTCCCACATAGGAGAGGGAGCATGCAATATTGTCTTTCTGTGCCCGGATGATTTCACTTAACATGATGTCTTCCAGTTCCATCCATGTTGCTGCACCCAACCTTTTTGAAGGAACCAGATTCTGGAATTAGCATAGAAGAGAGATCCTATAATTTTTCATCTTAGATAAATTTCTGTTGGAATTATCTTCTATTCTGCTCTCCTACCCCCTCTTCCTGTCCTTAGTTCAAGGAATCCTAATGCTAGCTCATATCAAAACTCGTGAATTTATAAACCAGAGTCTCACTTAGATTTATATTTGTTTGGAATCTTGACCCATAGTCAAGATTTGTTCTTTCCTAAGAGAGTAATATAATAATCTGCCACAATGTGCAGGAGAGTAGGTATGGGAGGAGAAATAGAGAGGAGACACAAGCAGCACTTATGAGAAAAGCACAGGCAGCCTTCATGTTGGTGTGGGAGTATGCTGCGCTCCACCTGCTACAAAACAGCACTGGCCTAAGGCTACATTAATAAAGATAGGCTGAGGTGAGTGGATTGCCTGAGCCCGTGGGTTCAAGACCCGCCTGGGCAACTTGGAGAAACGTCATCTTTACAATAAATCAAAAATCAGCCGGGCATGGTAGCGCACGCCTATAATTCCAGCTACTCAGAAGGCTGAGGCAGAAGGATCACTGGAGCCCAGTGGGTCGAGGCTGCAGTGGCCGGGAGTGGCCACTGCACTCCAGTCTGGGCAACGGAGTGAAACTCCAACTCAAAAAAATAAAGATAGCATTTCTAGAATAGGGGAGTATTGTCATTTCATTTCCATGTTTAGAACTCCTTTGAGCATCTCTTTTGTGTTGATGAATTCCTCTAGTATTTGTTCTCAGGGAAGAACTTTATTTTCTTATCTTTTATAAGGTTTTGTTTGGCAGGATATAAAATTTTTGGCTGGCATTTTTTTTTTTCTTTAAAGAGATTGAAAATAGGCCCCTATTCTTTTCTGACTTGTAGAGTTTCTGCTAAGAAGTTCACTGTTAGTCTAACAGTCTTTCCTTTTTGAATGATTTAGTACTTTTGTCTTGTTTTTAGGATATTTTCTTTCATATTGACTTTGGAGAATCTAATAACTATTTGCCTTGGTTAAGTTCTTCTTGCAGTGTATATAGCAGGAGTTCTTTGAGCTTCTTGTTGTATCTGACTATTTAGATCTCTCTCAAGAACATGGAAGTTTAATTATTTCCTTGAATATGTTTTCTTTATTTTTGCTTTAGCTTCTTTCCCACCTGGAATGCCTATGATTTGTACATTTAAACTTCAAAATTAATTTGTTTAGAAAAACACTCTCAAGATAATCTAAATTAGTCATTTTCAAAAGCAGGCAATGGGCTGTAGTTTGCTGACCCCTTCTCTAGCTCACTCCTGGATGTACCACTTCCATCTTGCAGTGGATTGCTGCTATAGTCTGATAGAACTCAAGTCATGAAGGACATAAATGGCCATATATCCCTTGATGTCCCATGGTCGGATGCTCCATCTCTATCAGGGCCCAGCACAATTTGAGGAGTTTTTTGTTGGAAGGTATATAGTTCCCTGCCACCGATGGCCAGAACTGGTTGTTCCAGAAGCCTAAGAATTTGCACTGCTACTTTCCTATTAGGTATTGCCCAAGATACCAGCCACCATGTTTTGTTGAAAAGTGTTATTAAGTGAGCCACCATGTTTTGTTAGAAAAGTGTTATTAAGATACAACTCACATATCATACTTTTCAACTATTTAAGCTCAATTGTTTTAAGTATATTCATAAAATAGTGCAACCATTACCCCAATAAATGTTAGAACATTATCATCACGTCATACCCGTTCATTCCTAAGCAGTCATTCCCATTTTCTTCCAACACCCCCTCAGTCCTCAGCAACCACTAATCTACTTTCTGTCTCTATAGATTTACTTTTTTTTTTAAATTGGAGTCTCACTCTTGCCCAGGCTGGAGTGCAGTGGCATGCTCACGGCCACCACGGCCTCGACCTGCTGGGCTCAGGCGATCCTTCCACCTCTGCCATCCAATAGCTAGAACTACAGGCATGTGCCTCAACCACCAAGTAGTTAGAACTACAGGCTAATTTTTTAATTTGCTGTAGAGGTGATGTCTCGCCAAGTTGCCCAGTTGGTCTCAAACCCATGGGCTCAGGAAATCCTCTCACCTCAGCCTTCCAAAGTGCTGGAATTATAGCAGTAGCTTCGGAAGCAGGAGATAGTAAAGGGAAAGCAAAAAATCGTGTAGCCTCATCAGCAAGGCATTGCCTTCAGACAATGGACCAGGAAGGGCAGAATGAACATGAATATGAGCAACAAAAAAGGGCTCCGTGCGAGCATGAATATGCAATTGAATGGTCTGTAAAAGAGCAGTTATGTCAGTAGGGGAGGAGGAAGGGACAGTATGAAGACTAGCAGTTTCCAAATGACGCAGCACTCCTGTAACGTAATGGCTGTCAGTGTAAAGATTAAGGCGTTTTTTAGGGAGATCTATAAAGACCTGACAAACTGCAAATAGCTCAACTCGTTGAGCGGATTAATAATCTGTCTGAAAACGAGAAACAACACCGTTAATAACAGTAACTGCTGTTCCAGAAGAGGAGCCGTCTGTTAAGACTAAATCAGCATCTTGCAGGGGTTGAGCACTGATGACCTAAGGAAAAATAAAAGAATGATTTTTTGCAAAAGTAAGAAGTCAAGGAGGATAGTGGGAGTCCACTTGCCCAGTAAAGTTAGCTACAGCCAACTGCCAGGCAGGGCATGTTTCCCCAAGCCAATTCATTTAGGGAGCTGTGTAAGGTACTATAATTAAAGCAGGTTCATGGCCAAAAAGTTCCCTGGCTCGCCATCAGCCCTTAGTAATGAGGAGGGCAACAGATGCATAATATGGGGTCATGGTGCGTCATCAGGAGACTGGCAAATACAGCCATTCCACGGGTCCTTGTTGCCAAAAAAACTCCTGTGGGCAAATAAGACATAGTCAAAATTATCAGTGACCAAGGCTCAGTAACAGAGATGAGAGATACCTGCTGGGCTGCAGTTGCCTCTTGTACCAATTGTAATGCAGATTGAGTTTCAGGGGTGAGGTGCCGCGGAGATTGAGGGTTGGAATCACCTTTCAGCATATCAAAGAGTGGCATTAATTGAGCAGTAGAAATACCTAAGGAAGGACATAACCAGTTGATGTCTCCTAGCGATTTCTGAAAATCATTAAGGGTTAATAAAGAGTCCAACCGAATTTGCAGTTTCTGCATGT